TAGTATTATTATAACAAAGAAAATCCTGCAAGTGTTTTGGGGGTTTCTTTTGTCTAGTAGACATTGACTCAGAAGGAATCAAAGCCTTAGAAGATGACACATCTTGATGGGGATGTGCATTAGGAATTGATGTTTGCACAAGAGGCAAATCATCGGTTTGGCCAGGAAACTGTAATAGAGGAAAGAAAGCTTTCATATCATCAGTGATGGTAGATGATAAGAAAGGAAAAATATCCTCATGAAAAATGACATGTCTTGAAATAGAAACGGCATGTGTCTCTATGTCTAATAGCTTATACCCTTTATAACCTGTGGGATATCCTAAGAAAACACAAGCTCTAGCCCTAGGTTCAAACTTATTTCTATGCTTAGGGGATGTTGAACTATAACATAAACACCCAAAAGTCTTTAAAGAGTCATAAGTAGGAGCCGTATTGGTAAGCTTTTCATAAGGAGATTTATTTTCCAAAATAGGTGTGGGTAGTCTATTTATTAAGAACACAGCTGTTAATATGCAATCACCCCAGAATTCTAATGGAATATTGGATTGAAATAAGAGGGCTCTAGCAACATTTAAGATATGTTGATGCTTTCTCTCTACCACAGAATTTTGTTCTGGAGTTTCAGGACATGAATGATAAGCAATAATTCCATTTTCAGCAAACAAATCATTGAATTTTAATTCATGTGCATTATCAGATCTAACCGATTTAACTTTCTTCTGAAATTGCGTTTGAATCATATTAATAAAACTAGGAAAAACATGCAAAACATCTGATTTATTCTTTAGCAAATAGACCCAAGTAGCTCTACTATAGTCATCAACAATTGTTAAGAAGTATTTGAAACCATCTATAGTAGGAACAGAAAATGGACCCCAAGTATCTATATGAACTAAATCAAATGCAGATTTACACATGTTTTGTCTAGATTTAAAAGATAAATGTTTCTGTTTTGACAAGTGACAAACATGACACACAGGTAAAGAATCTTTATTTATCTTTATATCTATGAGATTCAAAACATCAGATAACAAATCAACTTTTGAATGAGCAGGATGACCTAATCTCTTATGCCATGTATAGGAATCAACAACAACAGAAGAACAAATAGGATTTTCAGAGCATATAGTATTGGTACCTTTTAAAGAAACAGAATGATTAGACACATTGAAATCCAAGACATATAGATTGCCAACTTGACAACCTTTTCCAATCATTAACTCCTGTGTAAGTTCCTGAACAAAACATTCATCAGATGTAAAGCTAACTTTTGACTTTAAAGTCTTTGTTAAAACACTAACACTGATCAAGTTAAATTTAAACTCAGGAATATAAAGCACATTGTGGAGAGAGATTGCATCAGATAGCTTAATGTATCCTATGCCCACTATTCTAACAGTACAATCATTATGGAGTCTTACGAAGGTATTGTCTAAGGCTCTAAAATCTATATAAAGGCTTCTATTGTGTGTAACATGGTGAGTAGCCCCTGAATCTATTACCCAAGCTCTAGGAGACACAGCCGGTTCTTTAGAGATAGAAGAAATTAGCATGTCATAGTAAGAATTAGAATATAAAGCCAGAAAGGTACCTGAAATCTGGGAGATCACATGTACAGAAGTTGAAGTCGAGGCACAAGACTGAGTCTGTATAGGTTCCACTGATGTAGTATGAAGCTTGTTGCTAAGATAAGAGATCACAGTCTGTATCTGATCATTTGACAACTCTTCATAATCTATCTTTTCACTAGATTGATCAACCACTGGTGGGAGTTGTGTCACAGCAGCAAGATTTGTAGTCCCAATAGTCTGAGCCTTCTTCCACTTAGCTCCAGGAGGGTATCCATGCTGTTTGTAACATTTGTCAGCAGTATGACCAAGCTTGTGACAGTAGGAACATTTAGGCTTCTGATATGAACCTTGAGTCAAGTTGACATGAGACTGGTCAGATGTTTGTGACACTTGAACCTGAAATGCTGAAGCTGGACTGGAGAGAATAGAAGTATGAGAACCTCCTACAATCCGCTGACTCTCATCTTGGTCAAGCATGTTGTATATCTCAGTCAAACATGGTCTTGGCTTCATATTCAGAATTTGTCCTCTGATGAGCAAAACTATCATTTAAGCCCATAAGGAACTGTATGATCTTGCTAGTTTCAGCTTCTTCAATCAATTCTTTAACATGATCACAGTTACATTTCTTCACTGAAATAACTCTAGTATTAGCCAATTGTTCCCAGAGTGTTTTCTTCTTGGTGTAATAGGTTGACAAATCCAAGTTACCTTGCTTCAAGGTATGAATAGATTGCTCTAACTGATACTTGCGTGGAAGATTACTAACACGAAACCTCAGAAAAAGATCATTCCACATCTCAGCAGCATCCTCATAGTATAGAATACTATCATATATTTCCTTATTCACTACATTCAACATCCATGCTTTAACCATGCTATTACACCTACTCCATATCTTGAACATACGATTATCAATTTCAGGTCGCGGAAGAGATCCATCAACAAAACTCAGCTTATTCTTTGCATCCAAACTCATCTTCATAGCAATTGACCAGTTATTGTAATTCGTTCCATCAAGAATGTGTGAGACAATAGACAGACCTGGATGATCGGAAGAGTGAAGGAAGAACGGACTATGCGCATTATCAAACGATTCAATCTCTGCGGAAATCGATTGAATCTTGCCTCGCGCAGCCGCGTAAGTAAGAGAAGGAGCATCAACGATGTCATCGGCAACTGGATACGAAGATCCAGCTCGAGTCTTCATCGGAGAGTACTCCGAGACCGGAGATTTGCTCCGATTTGGTGTTTTCTTCTTTTGTTTCCCCATGACGAGTGAATCGAAGCTCAAATGTGCGATAAGAAGCTAAATCGGAAGCTCAGAAGGTGATTCTGCTCCGTTCAAGCTCAAATTTGACACAGATCCGGAATCGATGCAACAATCCGCCGGTGAAAAACGAAGAAGATGAAGAAAAACAATGAGAAATCGATGAGAAATCGAAGAAATTCAGAGAAACGCAAGCAAAAAATGCTCTGATACCATATTAGTAACCATGGATCGAGAGAGAAACATGGTGAAATCTCTGATTCTCATTAATGATCAAGAAAGGTTAATTGTTACAACAATGTATAGTAAAACAAACCAACTAAACCAGAATTAAACCAATAAAATCACCTTAATTAGATGATTAATTAGGTGGTTAAACCAGAAGCTATTATCTACAAGTATTATCAACATGAGACTAACTATATGATTCTAATAGTTCTTAACCGCAACCCAACCTTTGATAGGATTTCTTGGTGGAGTTTCGTTGTAGAACAAACTTGCCTTCTATATGTAATGTTGAGGAGGAATTAAGGAAGCGCCTACTTTTTATATGCTCCTTCTAAGCTTGAATTTGATGTAGAATTAATGTCCATCTATTGTCTACGATTCTTTTGGTACTCCATCAAGTGTAAATCTTCTCTTGTGTTAGGCAAGAACCATGATTAAGCAAACCATCAATATGAATTATCATTTTAAAGTTTTAAATTAGATTATTAAATATTATATTTCATGTTTTATATATTTAGGTTTTGTTTCTAGCATCTATTTAATATTTGTTGACTTTATCAAATTTTTATTCATTTATGATGTAGTATCAATTATGATTTATAACAGTCTTATTCGTTTTCACTTTTATTTAATTTATGGATATGTTTTCAATTTTTTTTCATAGTTTTTTCCGATTTAAGCTTCCAATTAATTACTAATTTATTCTGAAAAATTGTTAGAAATACCGTTTCTTTGATACCTTTTTTTCAAAAATGCCCCATTTTCTTGCCATTTTACCCTCTTTTTAAGTGAATTTCCTGCCAAAAATAA